TTGGAGATTAATAAACACTTTAAATGAACACAAGAAGCATAAAATGGTATATTTCATTTTTATCTTGGTTCAAACAAACTGAAACCACATTATTAATTTTGTATTAAGTCAGCTGGGCATTCATGAATCAAGATTTGAGAGTCGACTGAGAGTTCAGATTTGCTCCACGGAATGATCAGTGATTTACAGGCCTGAAAGGAAACCATTTWAAAAACATTTATGAATGAATTTGCWAARAAAAATTTGTTATTGAATGTGACTCGCAAAAGTATGAATGRGGATAATGCATTTGCATACTGTTATACATTGGCTTTTGTAAAACCAACACATTTTGATGAGAAGCTGGCTGGTYTTACCAAATAATGCMTATAAAGCTAGTTCAACAGCAAAAAGCCTGTGCATATAGATCTAAGTATAGTATTAAATTTACTTTCGTTCATAAGCCCTGTAACATTTTATTCTATTGTGTTTCTAGTTACTGTACAAGTGATTTTACWTTCCAATTTGTTTTCTTTTGTATTTACTTTGACTGTTAGTCAAGGCTAAATAATACAAGTTTGTTTCATGGGCAAAGTAAGATCACTCTAGGCTGTAGAAAGCTTTCATTTACTAATAACATGGCTCAATTAGCACCTGATGATGACCATTGAAAATACACAGCATTGATACAGTTACTAGTGTCCATAATATGCTTAGCTTTGTATGGCTACCTGTCAGTCAGTTCACAGAATAGTGTCCATTGGCTATATTAACCCGTGTCCATATTAAGCCGGATATTTGATAGAAAATGTATGGGTATTTGCTTGGGACCTGTCCATAGTACCTGGGGACATGGGCATATTACATGTAAGCCAGTGGCTGAGAGCGAGGTTCCACTGTATTATGGGTGATTGAAACATGACTGATTTAGAGGGCRAGTTTGATTCAGGCAACTGAACTCTTGGACGACTTCATTAACCATTTGCGATTCCAATAGCCCATATGAAGCTAATTCTAATTTTCTAATTATGTAATTTTTTTATTTTCTATGTTTCCAGGGAGTGTATAAGCCATGGCTTCAAGCCAGGAAGAAATTGACAATTCATCCTACCAGTCAGATGACCACATCTGTAAGTATGGTTTAAAACAATGAATGATTTGGCTTTGCCCATTCTTCGGACCTCACCGAACTGTGGCGACACGTCAAAGATTTGTCTCACTACCACACCCTAATTCTTCTACTGACACGCCTACTTTTGTTACATGTATTACAGTGATTACCTTACTGGCAATGTGCTAGATCTGAGACAGTGACAAAAGTAGGCGTGTCAGTAGACAAATTAGGGTGTGGTAGCAAAACAAATTTTTGACRTGTCACCACAGTTCGGTGAAAACCGTAGTACAGTATCAAACATGTCATACTTAAAATACAGTATATTATATAATATATMATATAAAATACAGTGTATCAAACTGAAGCAATGCATTTTAAACAATATCACATAAAATGAGCTCATAATCATTATTGAAAGACTTAGTGTGTTATTTATGTTATTATTATAGAAAACTAAGAAAATTTAAACATGTTATGATCAAAAATCGATTTTCAAAGGTAAAAACAACAAAATTTGTGTTGTTTGCAATGTTTTGAAGTCCAAAAACACAGCCAGTTAATTTAGCTTAGTTTTTAGGTTAGTATGCGCTGAGTAGCTTAATTTTTGTTTTTCTTCAGATGTTGTTTGGAATTTATTCAAATGTTTTTCTTTGCSTAATTTAGATAATTATAAGCTTAATAAATATTGAAGTCATTCTTAAAATTTAGTCTGAATGTTATTGATGTTACAGTGTATTGCTCCTRTTTGTCTGGTCTGACATTATCATTATCAAAAAACATTCAAAAGTCATGCACAACTGTAGCACAGTGSTGCCCATAAGTGTACACCTTGAATATTATTTATTAAAAGGGTTAGAGGCTAAAACTAAAATTACTGTAACTTTGATGTTTTTAATTGTTTACAAATWTTCCCACTTGCTGACTGTACATGTTCAACATTTCTCTTGTACTACCCTGAGCAGCTTCCATATAGTATTGT